ACTGCTCTCGGCCCGAGTTCTGTGGCGTCTCATTATTTTTGCCGAGTCTTTTTAGACAAGTGCCCATTTTATAATTCATTGAGGTCAAAGATAGAACATTTGCAGTGCTTTAGTTTCACTGAAAAAAAATTTAAACGCTTCAGGAATTACTCTAATAAAAATTGCCTCACGATTCAGGTTTATGATGGCAATGCAGACAGGAACACCGTTATCGTCAATAAGTTGATTCAACCAATCAAAGCACGTTTCGTTCGCCTCTATCCTGAGAGTTGGAGTGGGCATATTTCCATGAGAATGGAGTTGTATGGTTGTGAAATCTCCTCAGGTATGCTGTATGTGTCAGGCTCTATCTTTTCTATGATCATTCAAGTTGAAAAGCCTTTACGACTCTGAATAGAAACCACTGAGATGGCTTCGTTAGCAACAAACACTGAAAGTTTGGGTCTCAAAGACGTCAAATTTAGTCAGACTCATGAGAATGCTGTAAACGATTACTAAGCGTTCGCATTTAACTGATTCCACGAATTGAGGTGAAGGAACCATGATATTTATATCTCGGTAGGATGTTCTTCACCACTGGGAATGGAGGACAAAAGCATACTAGACTCAGCTATAACAGCATCATCAGAGGTAGATCAGTCCAAAGCTACAGGCTTAACCTAAGCCTCAGCCTGCTTGTTACGTATCTACGTTTTGCCTCGTTGAAAATAAATGTTTCCCCTCAGCCATGTTTGTTTCTCTCGTCTTGTTTCTTCATTGAATGAATAAAATATTAGGAAGATTTCATTAAGTGATGATACACAGGTTATCTAGTGTCCGCCCTATCCCGTTTTTTTTTTTTTTTTTTACTTTTCTACACGCTATCCAGTCCACAGTTAGCTATCGTGGCTTTGTCAAGCTAAAATTTGATTTAAAAAGAAATTGAAGATAAACATGAATTTGTTCATTCCTGTCTAATTCAAATGTATCTTTTCACAAGTGGGACATCAACCATGGAGCGAACAATGCGAGAATCTACCACATGGCTGGAGGTTCAAGAAAAGGGGCGTGGTCAGCGCGGAGAAGCGACAAAGAACCATGGATTCAAATCAATCTTGGTAAAATTGTGGAGGTGACCAAAGTAGGGAGTCAAGGTCGTCAAGAAGCCGCTCAGTGGGTCACCAAATACAAGGTGTCTTACAGCACGGACGGTCATCACTTCACATCTCAGAATCAGGTGAAACGTCAATCCCTTCCAAGATCCAATTACTAATAATTTAGGCGACATTATACAAAGAGTTATTATTGAATTAACGCGAGTATCTTGACAAGTTGTAAAGAGCTTTAACGACTACATGAAAGTGTTTCATTAACCTGGCCGACAAATCGGTAGGATTCCCTCTTTAGATTTGCTTAATTCACAACAGTCCTATACCAAACTGTCATAACTACCTTGAGTTAAACTACGATTCCAGGAATACTTTGGGAATAAAGACCAGAATACCCTCGTCATCAACGATTTAATCCAGTCAATCAAGGCACAGTATGTCCGAATCCTTCCACAAGAATGGTTTCAGGTTGCTTCGATGAGAGTGGAATTGTATGGCTGTGTTTCAAGTAAGATAGAGAAAATAAACACTTTTAGCGAAATACAAATCACAGCTTAGTTTGAGGTGACTGCGAACTAACTGTGGTTTTTTTTTTGTTTTTTTTTGGCGAAGAACCTGTAGATGGCGGATACTCCGCTTGGGGACCGTACGGTGAATGCAGTAAACAATGTGGCGGAGGAGAACAAACTCGAAGGCGCACTTGTACCAACCCACCACCGGCACACGGTGGCAAAAATTGCGCCGGTCTGGGACCAGAACTTTCAACCAGAGAATGCAACACTCAAAACTGTCCAAGTGAGCGCTTTTACTTTCAAGAGCTACGGATAGAGGCTAACTGGCCTCGGTTTTAACTTAACACTGCCAAGAATTTTTAGGCCATTTTTTTTTTTTTATCTATGACTAGCACTTACAGGTTGTCCAAATTTCTTTTCTTCCGAATTAAGGCTTCTTTCGGCATTAGAAATTCATATGATGCATTCGAATTGTGTGTGGTTCAATAACATTACACTGCCTCTTATTTTATTCCCAGTTGATGGCGGTTTTAGTAATTGGCTCGAATGGAGCGATTGTTCTGCCACCTGTGGTGGAGGCAGCAGAGCGCGCAGCAGGAAATGTGATAACCCTGTTCCACAGTACCAAGGAAAGAATTGCGTCGGACTCTCACTGGAAACAGAGGATTGCAATGAGGAAGAATGCCCCAGTTGGTGTTTCTCACTTATACTTGATATATCATTATTATTATTACTAATTTTATAATATTAGTATTCATAACAACAGGATTTTGAGTGCAAATTTGGTGTTAATAAGCAAGAGTAAATTTTACAAAGAGAGCAAAACTACGCGAGCCCGTTGGGCAACTGCAATTTGTAGTCTTTAAAAAATTTAAAAAGGCTTATTTACACCAAATTTCACGAGAAATCTTGTTGGTTATTGTAAATAATTTACATGAAAAAGGCACCACAGTAAGTCAAGACGAACGAGATTTTGGCAGCGCGCGCGCTATTTGTAATTTGCACTCGTACTACATGAACAATGCACACATTTCAGCCGATCAGACGCGCGTAATTTTCTCATTTTATTACAATTTATTAAACATTGCCTGATCAGCCATTTAATACGGGTCTTTACGTGTTTGGTTTGCTTTCGTTATAATCAGTAGAGAGATCCGTTTCATTACTTTTTTTCTTTCTCCGGAATAGCTCTGTGTAAAATATTGAATGTGGAACCTTCCGAGAAGTGGCTTCTGCATGAACGTACTACATGCCAACTTGTAATTTTCAATGACAGGTTAAAGCGCACTATTTTAGCTGTAATTTTTTTGTAGCGAATGGCGGTTATTCTGCATGGGAACCATATGGTGAATGTACAAAAACGTGTGGAGGTGGAAAGCAATATCGAGAGCGAACGTGCACCAATCCACCGCCAAGTGCAGGAGGAAAGGATTGTGACGGACTTGGACCGAGTAAAACAAGTAGAGAATGTAATAATCAGGACTGCCCTGGTGAGTTTTTATTAAATTGAAACATAATAACCAACGGTAATATTTAAAAAGCATTATTTGATGAACAGAATTATGAAAGATTAAAATATATTTGATGTTAGCCTTATCGAAAAGGGTTTTAAAAGCTTCTAAAAAATATTTAAAAACGTTTTAAGGACTGAGAAGTGTTTTCATTTGTGTCAGAAGTGTATAGAGGTGAAATACTTCTGTTCCTACTGATTAAATTCTATATTAAAACATTATTCAACAAAATAAATGCTCATACACACCAAAGAATGAAAAATCGTCTAATTTTAACCTTTTTCAAAATATTTACCATTTATACACCTATCATATGTACATATATAAGCACTGTAAGTCACTTAATCCATATTATTTCGTTGTTTCTTTAAGTCAACGGAGGTTACACGACTTGGAGTAAGTGGAGTGAGTGTTCTGCCAAATGTGGAGGAGGAACACGCAGTCGTAGCCGGGAATGCACAAATCCAACACCACAATACGGTGGGAAAGATTGTTCAGATCTGGGACCGAAGACACAGGAAGAGGATTGTAATAAGGATGGATGTGCAGGTTGACACAGTTTACTTTAATTCAAATGGCTATTTATTATTTTTAATCATCAACTTAAATTTTCGTTCCATACAGTCTAATTCACTCCCATGATTGTGACTGAAAGAAAGGATCCGTTTCCTACATGCACTTATACGTACTTTATATCACTAGCGTGTTGTTAATTAGCTCATATAAACGCTGTGGACCAAGGAATACTCCTAACCTATATAGATGATAATATTGGATTTCTTAAGGCCCTAACGCCGAGAGAGCCTTTGGCTCACAGGGTAATGAAAACCATAATCAAATTGCAACGTGGTGAAAGAGTTTAGCAATGATCTAAAGAAAAAATTATGATGTTTCTTAATCATTGCATTGAATATTTCCAGTGAATGGAGGTTACGGACCATGGGGGTCTTGGGGCGAATGCTCCATAACTTGTGGAAAAGAGAGGGGCATAAGGACACGCGTCAAGTCGTGCGATAACCCAGCACCAGAAAATGGCGGAAAGGACTGTTCAGGTCTTGGACCAGATAGCGAGACAAAGCCGTGTGTACCACTATTAAAGAAATGTCCAGGTATGCATACATAAAGAATTATCTTTAAAGAGTTTATAAAACGAAGACAGGCTATCTGAAACTGTGGTACTGCGTCGGTGGGAGAGTACAACAGAGTATTTTTTGAGTAATTTAGTATAATCAACTGAGTTGATAACGTAAATAGGCCAAGTAAGAGATGGAAATGTTTAAACTTATTTTGCAAGTCTACTAGGGGCAGGGGAGAGGGGAAACACTGATCTAAGGGTCTAAGAGTAGATAAATTTTTATGACAATTATTCGCGTGCGGCCAAAAAATGCTAATTGTAGATTTTTTTTCACATCTGTTTATGGAATCATCATTATCATTTCCATTATTGTTAACTGCGTTTTGATATTAATTATAATTTCAGCAAATATTACGTCCCTCCTAATTTGGGCAAATTCAAATTATGCTGCCATTACACAGAAATTTTTCTAGAATATTCGATTCAATAAATTAATGCAAAGAGATTCAAAGCTAACGTTTCGAGCGTTAGCCCCGACGAAGGGCAAGCATCTTTTACATTCTAAAATCAACAATCATTCATTTTCCACCAGCTGGAAATCAACAACATAGTACGATGTTAAACTAAAGACCCGACAGAATAAGTCTAAAAGATCCTGAGATCATTAGTAAGGAGCAATCGTTATGGTCCTAACAGCTTATATATGTATGATGTATTCAGTTCTCTAGCCTGGTCCCTTCATGGTATTAACCGTCAATTATTTTCGCTCCATCAGTTCTAATACGTAATATGTTGCGATTCTCATTTTCCTCAGTGGACGGCGGATGGGGAGAATTTGGCGAGTGGAGTAAGTGCCCGGTTACATGTGGAGGAGGAGAACAGATCAGAAAACGATACTGTAACAATCCCAAGCCTGAAGGTGATGGGAAAAAGTGTGAAGGAGACCAACAAGAGACCAGAGAATGCAACACCAATAAGTGTGAACGTAAGTAATGGGAGATTTTTAACCTTGTCCTTTTATTATCAGTGTTGGGGACGCGGTGGCTTTCGCAAATTCACTGTGTACAAAGTACCATCGGCAATCACGACGGCGACGCCATGGAAACTTCGTCTCAAAAATGTCCATGCATTCGGCGGAAGAGTTTTCCACGTGGCATATTGTTTTTTACCGTCCAAAACGGCGCGTCGAATCTCCTTTTCGGCGAAAATTTAAATGGAGCCATTAATGTCATGAAGAGACACAAAATTTCCTGTCGAAGTATTCGTTCACAAACAACAAAGCATTTGGTAATTTAAGGTGATTGTTTACGAGAGAACTGTGAGAAAATATACAAAGTTTTAAAACGCACGTGCAAAACTATTTTTCTGCCCGTCAAGACGTACATTTATCCATTTCTCGTTTTCTTCTCACACTAGTTTGCATAATGTTCATTGCCATTCTAGTCAGGAGTATTAAAAGATGATGCAAACTGTCAAGGGAACCTGAAAAACTCCAGCAGGGTACCCGGGTACCCTGCGTCTAACAACTAGCTCCTGAAACACAGGGAGTCGCAATTCTCCCGATCAGATAAGCTGCGCGTTTCGGAAGCCGAGATACACACTGACAATGTGGGTCATGAGGCTTGAGAAAGAAACGAATTCAGCGAACTCATCTCTAGTCACTATAACTCCATCTTCTTTTATGAGTATAACGACGGAAACCGCCAACCCGGCTCAAAGTTAAGCTTGAGTAAGCACAGCGGTCGAAATGACAGAAAATACGCTTTTGAAAATTATGCTGATCTTAAGCACAGCTTTATTTGTAAATCTGCATAAACGCACCAAAATAACTATTAAATGTCAACATCATTTTTTTTTTCTAGGAAACCGCTGTGGACTTAGTAGTCATTATTAAGCAGTCCACGCTATATTGTTGTTATATTTAACCCCAACTATTTTTACCTTCATCCTGAGGGTGTAAACCGCTGACTCTTTCTTAAAGAAGTTTGCCAAAGGTAACCTGCATTGGACCACAACTCTTTGCAAGGAAAGTAGTATTAATTTAGGGTCATTTTATGTCACAAAATAATTTTTTTTCATTCCTTCAAAAGCTGAATGGAGGCCGGTTGGCTGCTTCATGAATACCGTTCGCGCCCTCGGACAGATCCTTGAAAGAGTCGGGAGCAAGTCATCAATAAGCGCCCGCTATGCAGCATGCACGTCAGCGGCTGACAATGAAGGTGTGACCTTGTTCGGTATGGACGACAGGAGATGCTGGACTGGTGAAAAGGCAGAAAGCACATTTAGCAAATATGGAACCTCAGACCAATGCCTAGACGCAAGGAAGGTACCATTAAGTGGTGGTCTGTCAGAGTCGGGAACAATGTTTGTCTACGAGGAAGACGCCAGCGGTGAGAAATTCTTTTTTCTCTCTCCAATCATATAATAACAATTCATCTTTTCTTTTTTCGGGAGACTAACTTGTAAAAGTGAAAGATTATATCAGGTATAGAACACGTTTTCAAATTAAAAGTACAATGGCTTCCATGAGGAATCATTTCCGTGATTACCAAAAGCAAAGCTGGAAATGAAGTAAATTAAAATCTCTTCTCAGTCCGTCATAACAAGTGCGCTTTGCAGTCTTTCTGGCCTCGAGTGTGCGAATCACTCTATTTAATACTGAATGGCAAGTGAACTTAGTATTGACCACTTTAAGTATGAAGTAATGGTTGACAATCCATTCTGTTACCATTTTGAATGACTTATTTTTCCTGTATACGGCGTTACAGCAACAAAATCAAGCTTTTGACATTTATTCATGAACTATTTTTTCGAGATATTTTAATATATGTTGGCGCGATATTTTCATTGCGCATTTTATACTCAATAAAAATGTTTATTTTTTCCTTTCCTGTTCCTGTGATAGATTTATAGTGAGTTATTAATGCGATAACGTCATAGCCTCGAAATCGTAAAACGTTTGAAACGGTTACTTATAAAAGACTTAAGGATAAGTAATTCAGTATTATTAACTGAGTTAATAACGTAAATTGACCACCGTAAAGAGTTTCAAAGCTGGCGTCCCGAGCGTTAGCCCTTCGTCAGAGCGAATGGCGAAGAGTTAACGCTCGGGACATCAACTTTGAAACTGTTTATGGTGGCCAATTTACGTTATCAACTCATTGTCAAATAACAATACTAAATTACCCTCCCACCGACGCAGCATCATAGTTTCTTTAAAAACTTTATTCCTTTGTCCTTTATTCATTTAAAAGGATAAGTATATTGTTGATGTATTAAAGTATTTTGTAACGTAGATCGGCTAATTCGTCTCCTTGTCTTTCACAAAGGCGAATGGAACAAAAAGGGCTGTTACATCAACAAAGGACCTATACTAGCTTTACCAGACTCATTCGATGACACTGTTGAAAACTATCAAGGAAAAGAAAACATCCTTGAAGCGTGCACAAAGAAGGCTGAGGATTCTGGCTACAAGGTATTTGGTGTTGACGACAAGAATTGCTGGGCAGATAAGAGTGGCAAAAACAAGTACGACGTTTACGGGGAATCCTCAGAATGCCGCAAAGGATCCGGCAGTGAAATTGACGGTGACATGTTTGTTTACCGTTTTGAGTAATAATTGTTAAGGTAGGTTATACTGTCATATTTAACGAGAAATAAATTAGTTCTCGTGAAAGAGATAAGAAAATGGCTGGCAGTTTGGTCTCAGGGTCATGTGGTTCGTGTTTCTGATCTCGACTTCTTGAGAATCATTCTATTCTCAGGGCCGTGGCCAGACTTCGGAACAAGACGAGGCAAGTTTTGAGCGCCGAAGGCGCGAGCCGCTAGGTGGGTCTGGAGGCATGCCTCCCCAGAGAATTTTGAAATCTGGAGGCTCAGAAATGCTCTTTTAAGCATTTTCGGTGGTATTTTTCATCAGAAAAGTCAATCTTGGGCCAAAATCAAGACGAGGCATTTGCCTCGTCTTGCTTCGTGTTAGCTACGGCCCTGATTCTGAAATTTGAAAGGTCGATAAGTCTGGACCTGACTTCCGTCTGTGATAAAGAGTAACTTTATTAGGGACACTTGCATCTCAGGCAACCCTCCAACTAGGCCTATATATCATAAAATAGGTTTCGGTTGGTGATCGTGTACATAACACTTTCAAAAGAGAAATTTAATCGTTCGTCTCACGATGTGGTCAATTTAGACGTGGATCGCGACATTTTGACTGCATACTGCTGGTCTACTTCAGGCGATGAGGTCGACTGAGTACGCATCGCCTATATGCTGAAGTGCTCAGCTTAGATTGAATAAAATTTTACGGCTGAGATTGGTGCATCTTCGGATCAGGTTTCGTCTGTGGTCCGTTGCCGTAAGGGTCTCCTGCTGATGGCCTAAACAGGCCTAGATAGGCCTAAATAATTGAAAAAAATTATAAATAAAACTAAGGATGACCTGTTTTAGACTAGCATTGCGTAAGAACCTTCCACTATGCAAGTCAGTCTGATATGCAGTCTTTGGGTCACTGTACAGAACTGGGCAACTGAATTTAATTGACAAGTGCTGATGAGAATGCTTTAATCATCAATTTTCATCTTTTGCAGACAAAGGAAATCAAATTCAGGAACGGACGACACATATAATGGAAGAATGAAACAGTAGTCTAGCGCCTATGTGTGGGTCTTGGCCATGGGAACAGGGTTTAGTGCACTTAATAGGTATATTAAAGAACATTGCAAAGCAAAACTTTTTGTCTAATTTTTTTTTGGTATGACCTTCAGAAGACAATACCATTATTCCGTTTCGTTTAGTGCCTACACCGCTTAAAATAGATGGTTCTACCAGGATCTACCAGGATCGTATCTTACGCA